GATATATTTTATGTCAATTTTCGTCATTGTCTTTTAATTTAAAGAGAAAATATTCTTTACAAGTAAGAAATAGACGAGGTAGCTTTCCCGGCGGAGGATTGCAAATCTCGAGATTTCTTATCGAGAAAAGGATTTTTTATTTTCAATGAATAAATCATAATTCATTTATTATTCTATTTTCATAATTTTTATTGTATTAATGGTTGTTATGTTACTATTAACGATACATAAATTAAGCATATTGTATTTTCTACTCATGACGATATTATTTAGTGGTAATTCAAAGATAGGATATACTTTATAGATAAGAAATAGATGAGATAGCTTTCCCGTTGGAGGATTGCAAATCTTGAGATTTCTTACCAAGTGAAGTATTTCTATTATTTTAATTTTAACAAATATTCAATAAATAGATCATATTTTTTACTTCATATTCAAATTGTAATTTCCACCATTTACGACGATGTGTAAGCTACACAGTACCAATCTTGGGCGTTGTGGGGTGTTTACCCTTCCCCACACGTAACCGACTCCCGAACCTGTTTTAAATGAATCTTTGGTAACGTAGACCAAATTTTTGCCTTATAAAATTATTTTTCTTAAAATTGTTTTTTAAAAGACGTTTTAGGTATTCGACCTACCTAACCCAAAGGTCGATGGCGACTCTTTTAAATTTTATTCAAATCCGTTTAAAATCACCAATTTTTCCAAAATAAAGTCGTAATCGTTTTTAAAATAATATTTAATTGTTTTAAAAAAAATGGCTATGACAGCTTGGCGACTCTGCTGGGGACATCTTAGAGAGTCAGGCTGTCGGTCGCTTATATATGGTCGTTATGGTGGAAATTATAAGTTCGAATCTTTAGTAAAACTATGATCTACGTATTGAATTTTTATTTATTTTTATATACTAACATTTTAATTGTTTTCATTTTTTTCAGATTTTTTTAGTTCTCGTTGAGTGTTTTTTTCCTGTTTTTTGAGTCAAAGGTTTGTTTGTTTCTCCTCACACACATCACTCTCATTAGCATAACATGAGCTCTAGACATGAGTTTCGATCCAAATTAGTTAGGGTAATTGCTTTACTCTCGTAAGAATTTATTCTTCGTATGAGTTCTAGCAAATAACCCATGGGATACATACCTTATACCTTCGTAGGAATTTATTCCTCGTATGGGTATAAGGAAGTGAATCCCCTCGAATTGAACTCGGTCCGTTTGAAACCTGTAATGGGTGAGGATTGAGGGTTTGGTAGCCCAAGGGGGCACTGACATCAAGGACAATTCGAGTTCCTTTGTTTCCTGTTAGAGCTGAAACCATGCATATAGTGAACCATAGAACGGTCACACTAGGTAGAGTCATACTGAACCTCTGTCCGTCAATAGGTACCCAAAATAGGCGTACACAATGGAGAAACTCTCTAACCTTTTTATTTTATTTATTTTTGAGTATGTAGAATAGATTTATTCTGTTAAAGCATGTGAAATAGAATTTAGGTGCAGTTAGAATTTAATTAATTTAGGAGGGTAGAGAGCATGTTTGGGTATGACCCTTTTTGAGGATTATTATTCAGGTAGATAATGCATAAATAGAATAGATTTATTTCCTGTTTTACTTGTATTTTTATGTTAAAATTATGCAATTGTTTTGACTAACTGTTTTGTTTGTTTTGTTTATTTTTCTCATACTGCATAGACATATCATTAGAAAAGGCGATTGATCTGTGAGTAGCGATAAAGTGGAAAGACTTTCACGATGGAAAGGAGTTTCCTAAACAAAGAAGTGAATCCAGCAGATGTAAGGAACTGGTCCGAAGCCAAGCAGAAAGAGCAGGGAGATAGTCTATCAGAGAACTACGTGTCGGATCTGTCTGATTATACACCAGCTTCTTTAAAACAGAATGAGCTTCAGGGATTGAAAACCATTTGGGAAAGTTGGAATCTTATTGAGAGGCAAGCTTTTCAGCAGACTTATGGGGATATATTTCATCTGATATACGTGAAGGTAGACCCGGTTCTCATACGAAGCATAATACAGTTTTGGAATCCGGCCTATAGTTGTTTCACATTCAACCGAGAGGACATGACTCCAACCCTCGAGGAATACCAATTTCTGTTGAATTTGACAACCGTTAAAGTGGACAAAGTTTACTCCCGGTCGATAAAAGGGCCTTCCTTTAAGTCAAAGCTTGCAAAGATCTCGGGCACAAGCGACAAATGGGTGAATGATCGTTTGCAACGCAAGGGAGAAAGTGAGGGAGTGCCATGGTCTCACTTACAAAAGATAGCTGAAGCACATGTAGATGAAAACGTGCGTAGAGATGTATTTGCTTTGGGTATATATGGTTTGGTAATCTTTCCAAAATGTTTGGGATTGATCGAGCTAGCAGTAGTCGATTTGGTTGAGAAGTTAGGAAGAGAGGTGAATCCAGTCCATGCAATTCTTGCTGAAACTTTCCGATCTTTGAATATATGTAGAAGGTTGGGGGGAGGTCGTTTTATGGGTTGTGCTCAATTGCTTACTGTGTGGATCAGAAGCCATTTCTGGAAGGAAGAAAAAGTCAACTATAACCGTTTTTTGAAAGATTATTCTCCTATTGCTGAGTACCTTACGAAGGAGTGGCCTGAAGTATCTCAGAAAGATCAATGGATTGATTTCTTCCGGAATCTACAAAGTCAAAACATAGCATGGCGAACACCGTGGCTGATGCATACACAAATCTTGTTCAAATGTGGAGATTTGGATTGGATTATATTACTGGGATTGTGGGGAGGAGTGGGATACGCTCCTTTGTTGATATTGAGACAGTACGGTGCCCGACAGTTTGTTCCTGTGACTCATGGGTTGACTGGTGCTGAATTTGATTTTAAAGAAGGCAATTATAGAAAGAAAATCAAAGATGTGGCTGATTCTTGGAGGATGACTTTTAGGACTAAAGTGGTTGGAGCGGATGTTATCTTGACGCCTGATTATGAAGCCTGGAGAATCAGGAGGGTAAATGATAAGATACCTTTAACATCTGGAGAGGGATCAAGGTCGATAGAAGAACAAATCAGAAATATCCCTTCGAATTTGGAAATCCAAAGAATTGAGTTTGAAATGGAAAAGGCTAAAGATTCCAAGAAAATAGAAGAGATGGAGAGAGAAAACTTCATGTTGACTATCGAGGCTGAATTTCATGCCAGACAGTTTATAATGATGAGAGAACGGAAAGAGGAGGTGGAAGCCGATTTAGAAGACTTAAAAAAGGATTATCAAAGGGTGCAGCAAGTGAGAAAGAGACTTGGATCCAGAGAATTAGCAGCTGCAAGACGGCGAATCAAAAGTCTGGAAATTGAGAACAAGTGTCAGATCAAGAAGATAGAAGCTGGAAAAGCAAAAGTATGCGAGTTAGAAGCCGATAAAAAGGAATTGATCAAGCAGTATAAAGCTGAGGCTCGTAGAGCTCAAAAACTCAATGAAGAAAAAGAAGTCAGCCTGAAAGAATTAGAAGAAGAAAAGAATCAAGTCCAGGGGTTGAAAACTGAGATGAACAGTATAATTGAGGACTTTGAGGACAAAGATCGAAGAATTTTAGAGCTCGAAGAAGAAAGAAAGCAAAAGAAAGAAGAGATGTGGTCTGAGAGACAGGGATGGAATCGATTCCTCGATAGAAAGCAGGCAGAGATTGGATCGTGGATGCAGAGATTCTCGACAAAAAGTCAGCAAGTAGATGAGCTCACGGGAGAAATGGGAGAATTACAGATGAGATTCGAACATGAGATGAACCAATCTCGAACTATGAATGATGAGCTCAAAAGTCATGTATCGAACCTTGAGCAATCCCTTCTGCAAGTGCAAGTTCCTCCCGCTTCAGTGGACCTAAGAGTTGCTCTCGAAGAAAACAAATCCTTCCAGAAGGAAATCAGAGAATTGAAAGGTGAACTCCAGAAATGCCGAATTCATATTACCAGTCTAGAAAAAGAAATCAAACGCATCAATAAGGGATGGGAAAATACATATGAGCATTATCGATCCTTGGTAGAAGAACGCGAGCGCATGATGGGGGAAGCTATTGCTCAAATGGGTGAGGTGGCTCGGTACATGAACGAATTAGCCAATAGAGCGGAGATCATCCAACTGCGTACAAATCCGGTTTCTGAATATACAAGGGAGATCATCGCCATTATGAATGAAATTGTAGAGCTGAGTCTGAGGGCTAGGCCTTATATGTAATAGAACTCCTTTGTAATGAGTGAAACTTTTTATCCAATGAAAGTATTTCCGAATGGTTACTGCTTGGGTCAACGCCTTTTATTTGCATTTCATACTTGCATCATTCATTATGCATAAGAATATTCATCATTTATAATGCATCACCAATAAAATGTATCATTTATAGCACATTACCAATAATATGCATTCGATTTTAAAAGAACAATAAAATTAATTTCCGAAGGGTTATGTGACAGACGATTCTGGCAAGTAAGAACTCCAATCCTTATCACACGCGAAGTAGAGCCATGGAGGCCAAGCTTGATCAATTAAAGAAAGAAATGCAAGAAGATTTACTAAGAATACAACAAGAATGGCAGGCAAAGATGGATCAGTCACAAAAGTCAATTATAGATCAAATCCTGCAAAGCCAGGCTAATATGATGAATGAGATGATGACCAAGATGTCTGGGTTACGTACTGAAACAGTTAAAGAACCAAGCGCTGCCCCTGTTGAAGTTTCTAGGCAGGAGTCTACCCCGAGACTAGTTATCTCACCTGAAAAGCTAGTGGAACATCCTGCAGGGTCTTCAGCTATAAAGGTTCAAATGGCCACGACTAACCCTCAAAACAGTCCTTATGAGTATATTGATGTAGATCCTGAGGAAATGGAGAAACCTAAAACGGAAGTACCGGAGCATTTAAAGGACTGGTGCAAAGGGTTTTTTAAAGAAATGGGAAAGCAGGGTTCTCAAGACGGAATGAATGCAGAGGAATTGAGTCTTGTGCCAGACCTAGTATTACCACCAAAGTTCAAAATGCCGGAATTTGAAAAGTATGATGGAAAAACTTGTCCTGTTGCTCACTTGACCATGTTTTGTCGAAGAATGACAGGATTCGTGAAGGATGATGGGCTATTAATTCACTGTTTTCAGGCCAGCTTGACAGGGTCAGCTGTCAGATGGTATAACCAATTAACCCGAGCTAAAATAGGGTCTTGGAAGGATTTGGCCAATGCGTTTAAAGAACAATATCAACACGTTACCGATATGATGCCTGATCGTGTTACTCTCCAAAATATGGAGATGAAGCATAATGAGACCTTCCGACAATACGCTCAGCGCTGGAGGGATATTGCTGCTCAAGTGCACCCACCGCTTATTGAGAGGGAGTTTATAACCATGTTTATAGATACGTTAAAATCTCCTTATATTGATCATATGTTAGGAGTGGCAACTAAGAGCTTCTCTGATATCGTGATGTGTGGAGAGATGATTGAGAGAGCATTAAAGAAGGGGCAGATTGTCGGTAGCCAAACTCCTGCAAAGAAACCCTATGTGAAAAGGAAAGAAGGAGAGGTGAATAATGTAAATTTCTCTGTGAGCAAGCCGAAGATGGGAAATTCTTCTTCATCCCAAGGAGAGACTAAGCGCGAGCATAACAATGAAAGGATGACGTTCACTCCCATACCAATGACTTACAGTGAGCTCTTCCATGGATTAGTCCAAGCTCACGTAGTGTCACCAAAATTCATTGATCCAATTAAACCACCTTATCCAAAATGGTTCAACGAAAATGAGACATGCGAATATCATGCAAATCTCAGAGGACATAATATTGAAAAGTGTCTCGCTTTTAAAAGAGTGGTTGAAGATCTGATCAAAAGAAAAGTGGTGTCCTTTAATGATTCTGAAGCACCATGTGTTGCTGCAAACCCACTTCCAAATCATCAGAATCAGGGAGTAAACGCTATTGAGAAAAATCAGAGAGTTAAAAGGAGAATTGAAGAAATAAGAACACCACTGAAGTGGGTATATGCTCAATAAAGGAGAGAGGGTTGTTGAGCCCTAGAAATGAATGCTCAATGGAAAAAACAGAGAACTTTTGTGAATACCATGGTGAAAATGGTCATCAGATTCAGGACTGTCAAGAATTCAGGCAAATAGTCCAAGAATTAATGAACAAGCAGGAGTTGCAGTTCTATGAAGAAAGAATGAGTGAGAATGAAAGATATATCTGCGCTTCTGAAGAAAATTCAAGGGAAGCCGAAAAGAATTTAAAAAAGCCTGTCCTGGTCATATCGAAGCCAAATTACGAGGCCAGCAGTGGAAGTATAACATCTAGGGTGGTGATCAAAACCCCTGCGCCTTTTGCCTATAAGAGTAACAAGAGTGTTCCCTGGGACTATACATGCCAAATTAATACTCCTGAGAGTAAGAAGGAAGAGGTTGCTGAAGTTGGATTTTTCACCAGGAGTGGAAGATGCTATGCTCCTGGAAAGGCTGATAAAGCAAGAGATGTGGTTATTAAAGATCCTGAGGATAAATTGAATGAGCCTGTTAAGATTGAGGAGGCTCAGGAATTTTTAAAGTTTCTGAAACACAGCGAGTATAATATTGTGGAACAGCTTCATAAGACCCCAGCGCGGATTTCAATGTTATCTCTATTGTTGCATTCGGAAGTACATCGAAATACTCTGATCAAAGTGCTGAATGAAACTTTTGTAGGGAAGGATATACCAGTGGAACGTGTGGACAGGATGGTAAATCATATTAATGCAGACAATTTTATTTATTTTTATGATGACGAAATACCTGAAGAAGGAAAAGGCAGGGGCAAGGCTTTACACATTACGGCTCATTGCAAAGGAGTCATCGTCTCAGGGGTGTTAATTGACAACGGATCGGCCTTGAATGTTATGCCATTCGCCACTCTAAATAGACTTCCTGTGGATGTATCACAAATGAGGGTTTGTAGCAATGCTGTAAGGGCATTTGATGGGACAGAACGCAAGATAATGGGGAAGATGATTATCCCTCTCAGAATTGGCCCTACAACATTTGAAGTAGATTTTGTTGTCATGGATATCCATCCGAGTTATAGTTGCTTGTTGGGGAGACCCTGGATTCACATGGCTGGGGCAGTTCCTTCCTCCCTTCACCAAAAGCTCCGATTCATTGTTGATGGGACTCTAGTGACCATCAAAGCGGAAGAAGACATCATTGCCTCTATCACTACAGATGCACCATATGTAGGGGTAGATGAAAATGCACTAGAGTCCTCCTTCCAGTCCTTGGAATTTGTTAATGCTACTTTTATCTCTGAGGGCAAAAGAATTCCCATTCCTCATCTTTCAAAAAATACAAAGATGCAATTAAAGGAGACCTTAGCTAGAGGAGCAAAGGTAGGGAAAGGCTTGGGAAAGAAACTGCAAGGAATCACAGAAGGGTCGGCTCCAGTTCCTAAAAGAAATTATTTTGGTCTCGGATACAAACCAACGTACCATGATAAAGTCAAGGATGCACAAAAGCTTAAGGAAAGGAGGAAGGCAAGAGTAAAGGGAGAAGACCTTGTTTGGGGACCCATGGTCATTCCACCACTCTCCAAATCTTTTGTGTCTGGAGGATTTATGATTGACACGCTGAAACAGTCAGGGGATATTGAAGATACAGAAATTGTTGAAGATTTATTGGGTAGCCTGAGCATCAACGTTATCACAGAAGAGTCTACTGGAGAGTGTTCCTTGGCATCAATCCGTCCGTGTCCTCCTGGCTATGTTTTGAACAATTACACTGTTGAAGAACTCCCTGTGTTCTATAAGCACTTTTCAAAGTAATGCATAATAACAAATCTGTCTCCTTTTGACCCAAATATAATAGGGCTTTTGTAAAAGGACAAATTGTTATTTGTCATTGCTTTAATGAAACAGTGTTCTTCTTTCATTCTAATCTTAGCAAGTATTTTATTCATCTCTTGAGTATTCTTTATTCTTTATTGATAATTATTCTCTTGATAAATATTAGATAAAATTTTTGTCCACAGCCAAATATACTCCTTTTGATTCGCAGGTCTTCAGATATCAACTGTTCGAGTAATGATACTTTTGAACCACAAATTGATTTTGAAAATGACATGTGTCTCGAAGAATCTGAGGGTTATAAAGATGAAGAGGAATGTGAGCTAAACTCTGAGCTTGTTAGAATGATGGAGCAAGAAGATAGACAAATATTGCCCCACAAAGAGACAACTGAAACAATAAATTTGGGAACAGAAGAGGATATAAAGGAAGTTAAAATTGGCACTTCACTCTCACCAAAAGTAAGAGATGGTCTTATAAGCCTTCTTCGGGAATATAGGGATGTGTTTGCTTGGTCTTATCAAGATATGCCGGGGTTGGAGACTGACATTGTGATGCACAAGCTACCAATAAAACCGGAATGCAAGCCTGTTCAGCAAAAACTTCGAAGAATGAGACCAGATATGCTATTAAAAATCAAGGAAGAAGTGAAGAAACAATTCGATGCTGGATTTTTACAAGTGGCCAAGTACCCTGAATGGGTAGCAAACATAGTGCCAGTTCCAAAGAAAGATGGCAAAGTTCGGATGTGTGTTGACTACCGAGATCTCAATCGAGCGAGCCCCAAAGATAATTTTCCACTCCCACATATCGATACTTTGGTTGACAATACGGCTGGTCATGCTCTTTTCTCTTTCATGGATGGTTTCTCAGGTTACAATCAAATTAAGATGGACCCAGAAGACATGGAAAAGACAACTTTTGTGACAATGTGGGGTACGTTTTGCTACAAGGTGATGCCCTTTGGACTTAAGAACGCCGGGGCAACATATCAAAGAGCCATGGTTACGTTGTTCCACGATATGATGCACAGAGATATAGAAGTGTACGTGGATGATATGATTGCCAAATCACAAACTGGAGAAGAACATGTAAAAGTCTTAAGGAAACTATTTTTAAGATTAAGAAAATACCAGCTCAAGCTTAACCCAACCAAGTGCACATTTGGAGCTACTTCAGGGAAGTTATTGGGATTTGTAGTCAGTGAGAATGGGATAGAAATAGATCCTGATAAAGTCAAAGCAATTTTGGAATTACCTCCCCCTATGACGCAAAAGGAAGTACGAGGTTTTCTGGGAAGGTTAAATTATATTGCCAGATTCATCTCTCAGTTGACCGAGAAATGTGATCCAATATTCCGATTACTGAGAAAGCAAAATCCAGGAGAATGGGATGATAGTTGCCAAGAATGCTTCGATAGAATTAAGAGTTACTTAATTACTGCTCCTGTCTTGATGCCACCAATCCCAAACAAACCATTGATTTTATATTTGACTGTCTTTGAGAAGTCAATGGGATGTGTGTTGGCCCAACATGACGAAACTGGAAGAAGAGAACGAGCTATTTACTATCTCAGTAAGAAATTCACTGACTGTGAGACTCGATATTCCTCTATCGAAAAGCTGTGTTGTGCTTTAGTATGGACTACTAAGAGGCTGAGACAGTATTTGTTGTATCATACTACCTGGTTGATATCAAGACTGGATCCATTAAAGTACCTGATGGAATCAACGGCTCTAACTGGAAGGATGGCGAGATGGCAAATGTTGTTGTCCGAATTTGATATAGTCTACATGAACCAGAAATCAGTTAAAGGGAGTGCTATTGCAGATTTCCTGGCAAGCAGAGCATTAGAAGACTATGAGCCAGTAAAATTTGATTTTCCGAACGAGGACTTGATGAGTATATTTGTTACTGAAGAGGATACTCCGAAAAATGAAGCATGGAAAATGAACTTCGATGGCGCTTCTAATGCTGTGGGACATGGAATTGGGGCAATACTAGTTTCACCTGAGGGAGATCATTATCCTTGTACTAGTAGGCTTGCCTTTGAATGCACTAACAATATGGCGGAATATGAAGCATGTATCTTAGGTATTCAAGCTGCAATTGAGCGCAAAGTTAAAAGCCTAGAAGTATTCGGCGATTCTGCTCTGGTTATTTATCAGCTTCGCGGGGAATGGATGACTCGAGACTCCAAGTTGATAGAATACAAGAACTTAGTGATGGAGTTGATCAAAGAGTTTGAAGAAATTTCTTTTGCATATCTTCCTCGTGAAGAAAATCAAATGGCAGATGCCTTGGCTACGTTGGCAGCTATGTTTAAGGCCGATGATCAATCTCGAATGATGCCTATTCGGATGAGTATAAGAGAAATGCCAGCTCATTGTTGCAACATAGAGGAAGAAGAAGATGATAATCTCCCATGGTATTATGATATTCTCCAATACGTAAAGTATCGGGCTTACCCGGCAGAGGCAGCGGAGAATGATAAACGGACCTTAAGAAGATTAGCAATGGGGTATGTCCTTGATGGAGATATATTGTATAAAAAGGGCAAGGATCAGGTGCTTTTGAGATGTGTGGATAGAATCGAGGCCAAGAAAATACTTGAGGAAGTCCATGAAGGAGTTTGTGGAACACATGCTAATGGATTCACAATGGTTAGAAAAATCATGAGGTTTGGGTACTATTGGTCCACTATGGAAGGAGATTGTATCAGATTTGCTCGAAGATGTCATAAATGCCAGATTCATGATAACCAAATACATGTTCCTCCTTCACCACTCCATGTAATGAACGCACCTTGGCCGTTTTCAATGTGGGGCATCGATGTCATTGGGGCAATTTCACCGAAGGCCTCAAATGGACATCGTTTTATCTTAGTGGCTATAGATTACTTCACCAAATGGGTTGAAGCTGCCTCTTATGCTAATGTCACAAAAGGAGCAGTGTGCAGATTTCTAAAAAGAGAAATCATTTGTAGATATGGAACACCTGAAAGGATCATCACAGATAATGCATTGAATTTGAACAACGATTTAATGAAGGAAGTTTGCACAAAGTTAAAGATCAAACATCACAATTCGGCTCCTTATCGCCCAAAAATGAATGGGGCAGTAGAGGCAGCGAATAAAAACATCAAGAAGATCATCACAAAAGCAACTGAAACAAATAGAGACTGGCATGAAAAATTACCTTTTGCGTTGCTTGCTTATCGCACGTCCGTTCGTACATCTACTGGGGCAACACCATTCTCTTTGGTATATGGGATGGAAGCAGTTTTACCTGTCGAGGTGGAAATACCTTCTTTGAGAGTATTGATGGAGTTGAAACTGGACGAGGCTGATTGGGTACAAAGTAGGTTTGATCAATTAAATTTGATTGAGGAGAAAAGGCTGAGAGCTATCTGCCATGGCCAAATGTACCAGAGAAGGATGATACGAGCATATGACAAGAAAGTCAGACCTCGAGAATTTCGTGAAGGCGATTTGGTACTAAAAAAGATCTTACCTATGCAAAAAGACTTTCGAGGGAAGTGGATGCCGAACTGGGAAGGTCCCTATGTTGTAAAAAAGGCATTCTCAGGAGGAGCTTTGGTGTTAACAGAAATGGATGGGGAAGATTTGCCTAATCCCGTGAATTCAGATTCGGTCAAACGATATTACACCTAAAAAAAAAAAAAAAAAAGAGGAAATGAAAAAAGGAAAAAAATTAAAAATGAAAAAGAAGAAAAATAAATAAAGGAGGGTTCAAGATGAAAACCCAAAATGGGCATCTTGAAACCAAAGGAGGATTCGAGTTGAAAATCCGTAATGGACGGCTCGAATAGCCAGAAGTTGAAATGGCGGATTCCCTCGGAAGCCTGACAGTTCAGGGAAAGACTCTCATGCTCACACATCTTTTGTACGATCTGAATCTTCGAAACACATGTCAACTTTCGAGAAAGATTTGGGGTGAAGAAATAGAAGGACTCAGCATTTGATATTCATTATGTTTGTCCATTGTTTTCCTTTGTATATACTTGTTTTCTTGTCCCAAAAGATTGTACTTTCTCGTTACCTATCTTCAGTGAAATTTGTGAATTTGATTCAATGTCCTCGCATATATTCACCAAATTACTAATCAATAACATCGGTTATTATGCCTTACTCTGAAAAATGTAAGAGTATGGGGATTTGGAAACAGGTGTTCGCCAGAGAACACATACAAAGACACGCTCCCATAAATCATTGAGCAAACCATTGAAAAAAGGGTTCAGATTAAAGAAATCAGTTTCAACATAATCATACTTTTCCCAAGCAAAGAAGTCCCAATTTAAAGGCATGCACCAAGGAAAGGTCATTCTGAATGAATTTTCTCTGAAAAATCAATCAATGACCAAAGAATCAAAGAGGCAAGATAAACTCTCTTGGGGTAGATCAGAAGGACCAAGTCAAAGAATATCTAATGAGAGGTCAAGGAAATAACCAGGCATGGATAAATGCATAAATATCGCATGTTCCGATCAAAGAGTATGAGAGATTCTTAATGCCAGGAACGAGCTGAGCATAACCCTTTAAACATGCATTTAGATCATTCTTAGAGCATATTGATAACATGAAATCATGGCATATGACCATTTTTACAGGATCTTCGAGACTTATTTTATTATTGAAGCAATGAATCAGTCAACATCAACTGACCAGATCTCCTCATCACGTAGGAGAGTGTCAACATTAGGATAACCAGCCGTCCTCATCACGTAGGAACCGAGTTATCACCCTTCCTAACGATGGCCAGAGTTCTTCATCATGTATGAGCCGTGTCAACCGTAGATAACCAGCCGTCCTCATCACGTAGGAACCGTGTTATCACCTTTAGATGGCCAGATCTCTTCATCACGTAAGAGCCGTGTCAACCTGATAATCAGCCGTCCTCATCACGTAGGAACCGAGTTATCACCCTTCTTAAAGATGACCAGAACTCTTCATCGCGTATGAGTCGTGTCATCCCTTGACCAGATTTCTTCATCATGTAGGAATCGTGTTTCCCTTAGACGACCCGAACTCTTCATCACGTATGAGCAGTGTCGTCCCCAACAATCAACATTATTCAATTTCTAAGTTTGAAAGGGAGAGCCAGACAAAAACGTGTTGGCTTGTCGTCTTTGCACTGTTCTTGTTAACACAAGTATGTGCAAAGAGGGGCAGCTGTAGACACCCGTTTTTGTCCGGGTCTTTTATATTTATTTTTTATTTATTTTATTTTATTATTATTAATTATTATTATTAATTATTTTACATATTACATTTTTTGTAGGCTTAGAAGCCCAATTCAGATTACAATTGGCCCAATCCCGGAGCCCAACAACCCACCAGATTAGGGTTTCAAACCCTAAATCAGTTTAGGGTTTCAAACCCTAAAATCAGTTTAGGGTTTCAAACCCTAAATCAGTTTAGGGTTTCAAACCCTAAATCAGTTTAGGGTTTCAAACCCTAATCCCCAACTGCACAGCCGCCGCTCAAGCCAGAGTCCAATCCCTCAGCCGCACGTTGATCTTCACCAGTCATGCCTGAGCCGCGTGAGCAACCGTGAGCCAATCACCGAGCCACCAAGCCGAGGTGTCCCGTCGCCGCCGACTGTTCTCCTGCATGAACAGTAACCGGTTCTTGTAAAAACAGTAGCCTAAATCCTAGAATCCATTTAAAAAACAGATTAAATCCCGAAAAATCGGGAGGTAATCATGCAAAGACAGTAAGACCCATATCCTATTTTTTCTAGATATCATCATCTCACCAGATACTGAATATAAAGAAAGCAAAAAGGAAACGAAAAAATACCAGAGGGGACGAAGAGAAAAATCGAAACAGAAAAAAAAAAAAAAGAGAAAATAGAAAAGTTTACCTTCTCTAACCACCACCGTGAATCTCGCTGTGACCTTCCTTGATCCCAGCTAGCCCCATATCTGAAGGTAAAGCCTTTGTTTTTCTGGTTTTGGGGGGGTTGTTTTCGGTTGATATAAGTTGTGGGTTTGGGTCCTAGAGGTCGGGGTTCAAAGGAGAGGTCGTTCGGGGGGGATGGTTAATCGGTTTAGTGGCCACTGATTAGCGGTGGCAGGAGGCTTGGTCGCCTCCCATGGCGGTGAGCCGAGGGAGGGTTCTCTCCCACGGGTTGGGTCTGCGGCTGAGGGAATGAGAGGGAGAGAAGAAAGAGTGAAACGGCTGAGAGGGAGAGTATATGATTTTAGGGTTTCATAATAACCCTTAAAAGGGTTATATTTCAGACGCCGAACGGCGTCGTTTTGAAGCATGAGTGAGGCTGAGTGATGGGATTAAGGGCTAATAGCCCATTTGGTCCTCTTATCTCTGTGTTCTTGCACGCGTGTCCTTAGCATTCATGGCTAAACAACAGTTTAGGTCCCCCCAAACTTCTGTAAGGGTGTAATCTGGTCACTAAAGGAAGTCCATGCAATCTTATTTCGAGCCTATAGTTTTATTTTGTTTTGTTTACATCACTAGTCTATATATTATGTAGGTTTTATAATCTTCGAATTTGGACATGTAATTTATGTTTTTCTTCATTTTGGTCACTGGATTGGTTATTGTTAATATTTCAGAAAGTTTAGACATTATACCCTTTATTTATGAAACTTCTATTTTGATCACTATTATCATATTTTGGGTTAAATTTCGATTAATGTCTATTTATTTTACGTTCATTATATTTTAGTCCTTATCTGTTTATTATTACATTTTTGTTAAAGTTCGAATTTGGCCCTCAGATTTATGCATCTTCTGTTTTAGTCACTGTTTTGGCATTTGGTTTAAATATTTCTTTTATCCTTCATGTTTTTGTGTATTTTCAGTTTAGTTATTTAACTTATGTTTCTTCGATTGTAGCCCTTCAAATTTCTGTATTTGTATTTTGGTCCCTGAAATTATCATATGTGCTTATTTGGTTTGTATTTTGGTTTGTAATGTTAACTTAGTTTTATTTTAGTTATTTATGTATGAATGTATTTTTACATATTCTATGGTTATTTGTATTATGTAAGTAATGCATTTAATTTAATTTAATATAAATGTTTATATTTCCAATTGCATTTTATTTTCATTATATTTGATTTTATTTTTAAGAAAACATATTTATAGAACGGGCGTGGAAAGTATCACTTGATCGAAGTGGTACAATCCGATACGACGTTCAAACAGAATAATAAAAATGCAAATTCTTCCTTTTACAAGCTTATAGAAATTATTTTCATTGTTTTTATTTTTTTGATTAATTTATTTGATGGTCATATTGTTTAATATTTAAATTTTAATCTTTATTATTGTTTCTTCATCAAATCTTAATATGAGTGATGTATGTTTTGGAAAAGTATAATATGATATATTTTATGTCAATTTTCGTCATTGTCTTTTAATTTAAAGAGAAAATATTCTTTACAAGTAAGAAATAGACGAGGTAGCTTTCCCGGCGGAGGATTGCAAATCTCGAGATTTCTTATCGAGAAAAGGATTTTTTATTTTCAATGAATAAATCATAATTCATTTATTATTCTATTTTCATAATTTTTATTGTATTAATGGTTGTTATGTTACTATTAACGATACATAAATTAAGCATATTGTATTTTCTACTCATGACGATATTATTTAGTGGTAATTCAAAGATAGGATATACTTTATAGATAAGAAATAGATGAGATAGCTTTCCCGTTGGAGGATTGCAAATCTTGAGATTTCTTACCAAGTGAAGTATTTCTATTATTTTAATTTTAACAAATATTCAATAAATAGATCATATTTTTTACTTCATATTCAAATTGTAATTTCCACCATTTACGACGATGTGTAAGCTACACAGTACCAATCTTGGGCGTTGTGGGGTGTTTACCCTTCCCCACACGTAACCGACTCCCGAACCTGTTTTAAATGAATCTTTGGTAACGTAGACCAAATTTTTGCCTTATAAAATTATTTTTCTTAAAATTGTTTTTTAAAAGACGTTTTAGGTATTCGACCTACCTAACCCAAAGGTCGATGGCGACTCTTTTAAATTTTATTCAAATCCGTTTAAAATCACCAATTTTTCCAAAATAAAGTCGTAATCGTTTTTAAAATAATATTTAATTGTTTTAAAAAAAATGGCTATGACACACATGTTTCTCAAACTAAAGGTCGAAGAAATGATGGTCATGGGTCTCAGAGTGGAAGATTCAAAAGTGATCTTGAGATAGCTTTGACACATACCAACTATGACAATACGTTCATGTCAAATTGATACGGTCATAACAAACACAGTTGTAAAGGAATAGAGAACTCTACAAATATATTATCTGATAATGTAAATTGAAAGGTATACATTTTTAATCAGTTGAATTTACACATTTTCGTATGAAAAGTATTCTAATCAAATTAGTTATTGATATTTTTGCAGGCTCACATCCGATTGACGATAGATCAAATCGATGCTAATATTTACTAACATGAATGTGGCGTTGGAAGCATAATTTTTTTATATTATATTTTTAAGGCGTTAATGAACATTCGTCCCTTGATTCGCATCGTCCAAGCTCTGGTAAAACAACACGCATAAAAGATATTTACAGATTATGAACCAACACCCATATTGCTATTAAAGCTAATTCTTCCATTAAAATTGGTAAATCAATACC